TGAACTTATTCCTATTCAATTTGGTATCAGCAGCGTAATTATACAATTATTACAGAAGCAAACATTTAAAAAACCCACACGAACAAAACAAAAACTAAACACAAGGTTAGTCAAACTTACAATCTAAGGTTAATATTCTTAAAGAAAACATATATAAGTTTCATAAACTCCAGATCGCGTCTACCCAAAATATCCCGAACTGGAACATTAGGTTGTCTACCTCGAGCCCGAAGGGAATCGTACAGCTCAGATCTGACTCCACGATGCTTAGCACAAGACCAAATAATGTGATCTGCGTCCTGGTAACCTTGTTCGCATTCACAGAGATTGCTGTCCTCCAGACCAACACGGAACAAGCTGACGAGTGACTGTTGACGATAAATGAAGAAAAATTCATCGTAGGCGATTTGTCGATCATAAATATCACCATAAAAAATGCCCACCTTAGCAAGTGAGTCCGCCATCTCATTGCCCGGAATCGAAGTGATGTGCAAAGGTGATGACAAAAAATCTTAAAGATAAAGCACTTAGAAGCTCTCGTATTTTCATGAGAAAATACGATGAGTGCTTCACCGGTCTCATAGAGCGAATAGCCTCGACAGAACTGAGACTATCCGTAAAAATAAAATAGTGATCTGGTGGAAGTGAGGCGATCGTTTCTAGCGTATAGTATATTGCCGCCAGCTCAGCAGTATATACGGAACAGGGAGCTTGAAGCATTCGAGAGGCGCTATGAAATTCGTTATAAATACCAAAACCAGCGGACCCTTCTATAGTGATCCATCTGCAAAGTACGATCTTGCGGAATCAACTTGACCAAACTTTGCAGTGTATAATGACGGAACAATCATGGAACGATGATGTTCTGGGATTCCGCGAATCTCTTGCGTCAGAGATACATCAAAACTAACTGAATTGCCGAAGTCGGAAAAGCATACATGATGAGGATTATGCTGTGAAGGGCTGACATCCTGTGTTATGTACACGTAGTACAATGACATAAAACGAGTTGGAGGGTTTAGCTCAAGAAGCTTCTCAAAGTTTTTGATTACCAGTGGGTTCATAACTTCACAACGGGTGAGGAGCCTGAGGGACAATTCCGAAAACCGATCCGATAGTGACAACATGCCCGCCAACACTTCTAGTGCATGCATCCTAAAGCGATACTAAGACAATGATACTGGATACGTTCCAGTTTTATTATGTAAGTTTAAGCCGCCGACTGGAAACAAAAACTACCGTATTCTAAAACCACTTTTATCGTTGTCCGGTACAACGTAAGAAGATCTTGTGGATGAGCTCCCCACCACGTTCCGGTAATTGTTCGGAGAAAATTGATCCTTTGTTGGCATTTTCGTCTCAGATACTCAATGTGATATTGCCAGGTGCATTTGGAATCGAACCAGACCCCAAGATATTTGAAAGACATAGAATGAGTGATCGGTTTATAAAAAAGTTGAAGCTTAGGTTGTGCTGGGCTATGCTTCCTAGAAAACACGACCAACTCAGTTTTCTCAGAGGAGAATTCGATACCCAGCTCGATAGCCCAATTAGACAAATTATCTAAGGTACCCTGTCATAGACACTACGCCGTCATCTGCAAGTTGTCTCAACGTGCAGTTGTCACTTAGACAATTGTCAATTTCTCTGAAATTATACACAAGGGGGCTTAAACATGAGCCCTGGGGGAGACCCCTGTAACTAAATCGAGAAGCTGTAGAGTTTCCATGACAAAAGCTCATATGTTTCTCTGAAAGCAAATTGTACAAAAAGTTATTAATTAATGGAGAAAGGCCACAAGCGTGGAGATTGTCTGAAAGGACTTCAACCGATACTGAATCAAAAGTCCCCTTAATATCCACGAATACAGAAGCCATTTGCGCTTTTTTAGCAAAAGCCAACTGAATTTCTGTGGAAAGCAACGCGAGACCTTGCCCCTACGGAAACCAAATTGAGTATCTGAGAGTAGGTGGTTCATCTCAACCCATTTGGCCAGGCGAAAAAGCAATGCACGATAACATCGCGATGGGACGATACGAGCCATGATCTGACGCGGGTTTTTCAGGCTTTTTAATGGCTATAACTCTCACTTGCCTCCAATAATCCGAAACAATATTGACAAAACAAGTTCAACATGCGCCTCTTAGCGACGTCTGGGAGGTTCTTCAACAAGTTGAACTTGATTCTATCAACCCCCGGAGCCGAATTGCTACATGGAAAAGAGCAAGTGAGAGCTCCAGCATTGAAAAAGGCTGGCTGATCTCTTCTACCGAATTCTTCGTTTCGCGATGAATCATCTCTGCAGGCACGGAATCAGGTCATACTTTATGCGCGTACTTGAGAATCCAACCATCTGAGTACTCCTCGCTCTCGTTGTTCGAAGACCGGTTACGCATCCTTCGCGCCGCGTTCCAAAGCGTATTCATCGACGTTTCGCGCGATAATCCGTCCACGAATTGCCGCAAGTATCCGCGTTTCTTGGCTTTGATGAGGCTCTTGAATTCGCGTTCAAGAGAAGAGTACGCTTCGAAATGCACGGGTGTTCCACGTTTCCGGAAAAGCTTAAACGTGTCGGACTTTTTTTTCTATAAACCTCAGTGCATTGATGTTCCCACCAAGGGGAAGGAAGTTTCCTACGGAGAGACGTTCCAGGAAACGGCCGAGTTTGAGCTCGAAGCGCGCTGTCCAAGATCAGATTGGAGAGGAAGTTATATGGTGGAAGCCCTTCTACCGACGACACGGCTTCCTCTATCGCGGTCTTGAACGTTGTCCAATCGATATTACGGGTGAGGTCGTAGGCGACGTTAACGGATTCCGACGGATTGTAACCACTGGCAATCGAAATTTTGATCGGCAAGTGATCACTACTGTGGGGATCCTAGATCACATTCCACGTGCAATACAACGATAATGAGTTAGAGCAAAGCGTATTTTTTGATTGTACGACTTTTCCCAGAAAACCAGTTCCCCGAAAGTTTTATCCCCGAAATACTATTGACCGAATGAACCAGTTCTCCGAAAGTTATTTAGAAAGTATAGTATTTAAATATGATCCTGTGGTTTGTTACAACCTATAGTTGCGGTATGAGGGTTGTGTCGGAACAATTGTCCATCGGTAGCTCTCTTAAAATAAAGCAGATTTGCATTTAACCAACTTCAAATTAGCCCAAAAATGGCGGAAACCAATAGATTTTTCTTAAGATTTTGGCTCCTTTGCACCTATAGTTGCTGTAGTGTTCCTATAATAGTGGAACCCATAAAAATCAATGCTTTCCACTATTATAAGAACCAAAGTTAGCAACTACCACTACTACTAGAACAGAGTTCTTATTAAATCGGACGGCGCCGATTGGGGTTGAACACAGGCCTTTTGGGGTGAGAGGCAATCACGCATACCACTGCACCACCGGCGCCACTGAAACCCAATTAGTTATTTATTCTTCAAAACGTTAAAGGTTCGTTCTTTAAAGTTTTGAAGAATAAATATCTAACTATTTTTCAAAGTGATACCAAATCACAATCAAATTAAAAAACAAGCCGTTAGGGGCCATACATCTAATTGGTTTTATCAAAGAGATATCATTTTCCTTTCTTTGTATTACGGCTCGTTCTTCAATTTTATTACGATGAGATATCGCTTTGATAAAATAGTCAAAGAACGAGCTGTGATACAAAGAAGGGAAAATTTTGCTTATGCAAGAAATTTCCATTATTTGAATCGTAGTTCGCGTCCCCATGACATACATACTAGCCAAGACTACAAATCAACTACAATCCAATCGTGTTCACTCGGCTGTCGACAGAAGCAGGCCACTCTCTATGTGTGTCACGCGATCGTCTGTTTACTCGGCAGCAACCATTGTGTGGTCTTCCTCATTGTTATTCATCAGCAGTTCTTTCGGTCGATGCGTCGTCGACTTTGGAAAGCAACCGTTTAGTGATGAGTGTGTGAGTGCTGACCACGTTTTGCGGCCATTGCTGCAATGGAAACGCTCTGTTGGTGATACTGCCATACAATGAAACCAAATTATAATAACTACAATCCAATGATTTGTAGTCTTCGATACTAGTCAGATGGCGACTCCTTATAGGCCGAATCTCAAATTGCATGGAGCACGAAGAAATCAATGTGTGTTGAATAAAGACAATAGTTTAACTTTCTTTAAAACTACATGTAAAGGTCAAAAGCTTCTGAAATAGGATTACACCGATTTCAAGAGCTTTTGACCTTTACATTTTGTTTTAACGAAAGTCAAACTATTGTCTTTATTCAACACACATAAATAGGTTTATTGTGACATTGTTCGATACAAGTAGTTACCTTTTGGTAAATAACTTTCGGGGAAAGTGTTTTCGGGATACTGATTTTCGTGGAAAAGTCATACAATCGTTTTTTTTTATTTTACTTTTTCTAAGTTAAAAATTTGCTTTTTATGTACGTTGACTTGTGCAGTTATGTTAATAGATAATTACTATGCAAAGTAAATAAAAATAATGATTACTGTAGGTTATACAGTCTATACAGTTATAAAGCTGAACCATAACATTTGTAGGTACCTTATCAGTTTTGCGTTACAAAACCGAAAAGAGAAATAATTCGGAAATAATCCCTGCTCTTTTCAGATTTTCAATGACAAAACTGATTCAAATATTATGATTTAACTATTCTTTGCATGTCTACGTTGAACTCTGATGCTACTCTATCAATTGCTTAAAGTAAAACCAATTTTCATCAACTGAGTGAAAAGTTATTAACAAAAGAAACATTTTAAGAAAAAATGAGCATAACAACCATGATCAAAGCAAAAAATCAAAGCAAAGTATTGCTAGTAACAAAATGTATGATTTTATTGGTAGAACATCCATACAATGTTCAATTTTGGCCAAACGATGTTGTATTGAGCGCACTTAAACCCCCTGATGATAAATAGATAAGAAGCAGACGAACCCGTCATATTCCCTATGTGATGTTGACCGGAACTACAAACTATAAAACTTACACTTTCCAATGTTGTATCCGTTTTGGAAATATCCAAATATTCTAAAACGTTCGGTTGAGCCAGGAAATTATACAGGTTCTGAAAAAAAAAACAAATTAATGATAAACAAACATATTAAATGAATTTATGATTCAACTTACGTTAACATCATCCTTTAGATTGTTTCCACTCAAGTCTAAATATGTTAAGGAATTGGAAATGTTTTGATTCAACGAGAGTGAATGAGCTATCTGGTTGACTCCTTTGGAAGTTAGACCACAGTGCGAAAGCGATAGGTTTGACAGACCTTTAGAAATTTTTGCAATAGGACCTGCTAAATGCCCGGCACCTGAAAATACAAAGGAACAACAATTAATCCTTCCTGTGGAGTGTATTGAAAAGTAACTTCAAACATTCAAAAAATTAAATAAAGGTAAAAACTTCGTCCAAATTTTCAAATCACAAGCCTTTTTTTTTAGTTTTAGTTTTTAGTATTTATAATAGTCCAACAGAAAAATTGAACATATTGTTGATTTACGTAGAATAATCGCGTTATAGATTTAACACCTTTTTTCCTTGCTTTGTTTTCCGTGCTGAGCACCCAGGGAGGCAGCTCCCACATCTGGACCCTATCTATCGACCTTATAACTCATGAACCGGGGACCAACGGCTATTTTAAATCAAGTTCTGATAATTCTCTCAAAATTTTAGTTCATTTGGATTTGCACCGGTCCTTTGAAGTTTATCTGAGAATTACTATGCTCTTATGGGAAATTTTATCAGCTACAACTTTGCTGGAGACTACTACAAGGTAATTATTTATCAATTGATTTCAAAGCCGATAGCTTTCTGATAAGATTAATCGGTTGCTTCTTTTTCGCATATCAAGCTTATTGCTTATCGCATATTAGCTTTTTGCGTGCTCTCAACTTAGTGTTCTAAATGCACTTCCACAGTTATTAATTGAGAGCTTTCGATGCCAATACCAATGCATGAATTTGTATATTGCGTGGCAAGCACAATGATACTCTATGCCCAGGGAAGTCGAGAAAATTTCCAACCCGAAAGATTCCCTCGACTAGACCAGGAATCTAACCCGCCGCCTCCGGCTTTGTAATGCCGTGCCTTTACTGACTAGGCTATGAGGCCCCACTCATATCAGTAATGATATCGATTTATGATTGCTGTAAAAATTCCATTTTAGGAGCGGTACCCGAGCAAAGTCGGATATCAAAATACTATCAAAACGATATCTAATTTTGGTTTTGAAATCATGTTGACAACATATTTTGATAAGCTATTTTTTTAATTTCGATTTTGATATTTCTAAAAAATATAATTAAAAACAAAATTTGATATTTAATAAAAAAAAAGTATCCACATTTATCAATGAAATCTACATTTATTTTTATTTTTTCTTCTTACGAGTCAATCAGGTTGCTTTATGAACATTACAAAGACAATTATGATTTTTACAGTGTTGTTTTAAAACATTTATTGATATTAATCTACCTGAGAATTGAATTTACATATCGATATAAAATTGATTTCGTCCAGTGCGTCTGTAATACTTATACTCATTAACTATCAGTTCTCTCCCACCAAAATAAATATCGTCATTAATGTCTGTTAAAATATGTTCGATGCGAAGGAATTTATCATTCATAATGATATAAGAGTCATTGTAGACTATTTTTTTACATGATTCACATCCTCTATTTTTATGCTAATAAACCTCAATCGTTCGTCATATTTTAACTTTGCAACAAATAACAAATGCGATTCATGATATACTTTCTTGTAATTTGTACCACTGGATGATTATTTCCAGTTCTGTACTTTAATATGGCACCATTCGCACTTTATTGACAACATTTTTTGATTTTGAACCTTGATATCAACCAAAAGATTTCAGATTACTAAATTTAATATCATGATATCAAAATAATAACTGATTTAGTTTTTTTAATTTTTTGGTTTCCTACCATAGTTATAATAATATATTGATTATTTAATGATGATTAACTAAATTACTAATATCAAAATGCAGACATGGATTTGTTGTATGTATGTATGTAAGTAGCCACCATCCTAGCTTGGGTCTTGCCCTGCATGCGGCTCCACTCAACAGCAAGATCAAATTCCATCATCATTCTGAATTCAACATACTGCTGTATTGTAACCGTTCACGAATTTTCGTTGAGGTTTTCGTAGAACTTAGTGGCTTAAGCACCACTTTCGATTAGGAGAGACCACTGGTCATGTTCGAATTTTGCCCGATTTATGAGACCTTATCTCAGAGAACCTCTTGAACGGTTTCCGATTACTAATGGCACAACTAGCTTTAATATCAAAAGTAAAACGCCAAGTCCCGTAGAACCGCAGATATTATCGGAACGAAAGAATTACTCTGACTTACCCAGAACATGAACGAAACGGAAAGAGAAAGAAGGAATTCTTACTCAACTGAGCGGTAATCGAAGGAAAAACTGAACGTAAGATAGCGAGTGTCTTTTATTCCAGGGAAAAAACATTCTAAAGCATAAAAAACTAATCTTCAATTTTCATTAAACACTATTATTGAGTTCGTTTATTCGGGTTGGACTTCTCGATGAGTGTACGGAAAAAGAGCAAATCATGGCCATGAATAAAAACATGCTCTAACATACCTGCGCAGGTTTTTCGACGCGAAGAACGACGGCTCGATGATGGCTGACGGTGGGGACTCGACGACTCGATGATGGCGACGGAAGGCGACCTTCCAGTTAGCGTGGCGATGGCGGCGAGGCGTGATGGCGCCGCACATGAGCTGCAGTATGGCGAGCAGCGATGAAGGTGACCCGTGCGCAGTATGGCCGAACTAGAGTTGCGGCTGGACGGAAGGCTTCCGATTTAATACGTCGAGAGCTGAGCATCGACCGTAGTCGTGCTTTCCCGGGAGATTCGCCCCTCAGAGAAAAGAGGGCCAACTTACTGCCGCACGGCTTCGCGTACTAAGCTTCCGCTATGACCGCCCGGGATGGAATGAAACCCACCCTTCTCCTTGGATTGAATCCGGACCGTAGTACGCTCTTGGCTACGCACTCAAACGGTCCGCGCTCTCGGAAAGAATGGTCCACAAGGGGTTGTAGCGGGAAAAGGACCTCGTCGACGGTTGATTTGCGACCGTCGGAAAGTTTCGCTCCGTGGAATAGCGAACTTCACTCTTCTCCGTTTGGCTACCTTTGAACAGGCGGGCCTTCGCTTGGCGCACGAGTCTGATAGTCCGTTTCACACGGACGACGGAATAGATGCCACTTAACAGGACCCCTTGTCCGGCCTTGCGATAGCCGAACTGAAGATAAAAATCCAGCCCGTACAAAAAAAAGCGCAAAGCGCTAGAAATCCAACGCGAACTCACATTAATTAAATAATTACAATATAAACTAAAATCAATTATTACCTTTTTTGTACAAAATTCACTGAAACAAAACGAACAGACTACGCGGAATTTAAAACTACCTTAGCTACACTGTACAAAGAAAGGAAACGTCTTAGTAAAACTTCTGAAAATAAAACTCACTTACTAAAGTTTAACTACCTTTTAAGGCAATTCTAAATGCACAAACGACTTTTAACGAGAACTTAATTCGCGCACTTCTGTTCACCAGCCGATTCAAAAGCGAAATGGACGAGTCAGAGTACCTTTCGCGGGGAAGAAAGTTCCTAACGACATTCTTCTTTAGAAATTAAGGTTGTCTTTTAAAAAACGATTCTTTTATTCAAAAATTGCGCCAAACTAATCGAATGGCGAAGTATTTCATGGCGCCTTCCGAAAGCATGTGCAATAAAAATATAGCAAAAGGTTTATCCTGGACACCTAACCATAAATAACGCGTAACTTCGATATGAAACGCACGAAATATTTCACTACTGAATGAAATCTAAATGAAAATTTAAATAATGAAATGAATTTTATTTTAAATTTAGTTGAACTTAATCGATAAAATATTAACAGAAAGAAAAAAAAAAAACAAAAAACCGCACAGCGTTACAGTATGAAGGGCCAAAAAGGGTTGGACGGACCCGTAAGCAGAGGCACTTACGCGAAACCCGCGGGAATTAGAGAATCTCCTTCCAACAATATGATCCAACAAAATGAATAACGAAATTCGCAATACATGTTAAGCTTTCCACGGGATGGTTTGTTTAAGAAGAGCGCGTCAAATTCATTGCAACTGTTGGAGTGAAATGTAACTATCTAAAATGACAGTACACTTTCCCTCCTAGACTCCGGTTGGCACTCCACTCCATTGTCCAGTTACAACTTCAATGATGCCCTGATGCTGCCTCCTGTCCCAGTATTTATTGTAATTTACATTATGAATTTATATATAATCATGTGATATATAATGTATATAAAATATGTAGTAAAATGAAAAATATAATAAAAAATAAAGATGTTTTACAAAATACAAATAACCTAGATTGTTGGGTCCTATACACACACTTTTTGTTTTATGTTCCATGAAATGACATAATTCATCATTGTATGTTTTGAAAATATAATACTAAAGTATAGAATCAATAGACCGAAAATCGAGGTTATTTGGACATGAGACATTATATTTAAAAGGATACTACCAAACCGACCATCAAACGCACTGCTCACAAAAGCAGACACGTCCCCTCGAAAATGCAATCGAGAAATGTACAAGAACAATCCTCAACTGGAACGTACTCACCAAATCAATATATCCGGGAGCGCATTCCCGATGTCGTCGAACGGCAAAAAAAAAGGAACTCGGTGAGCAAATTTGTGATACGAATTTCACCACACCCAACTGCGAAACACGTTCAGAAGCATTTTTGGCACACTTTCGATATCAATTACTTTCGAAAAAAACTTTTTTTTTTTTGCAAGTCGTTGACTTGCCGTAGAAGTTATATTAAAAACATATAGTCAAAGTACTTAATTTTTTTTTATTTTTGCAAAAATAGTTGCAAGTGTACCAACATTAACACCGATCGTGCCAACTCTTTCACGCACCTTGCAGCGCGTACATAAACTGAAATTAAAATTTTCACTCGCGATGCCACAAATTTCTGGTTCGGGAGAAACAATCAAACCACGCAGCGCCAAATCTTCTGATGCTTGCAATTTTGCAAACATGATGAATCATGTTTCTTTCTCGATTCTAAAACTTCTCGGAAAGCGAGAAAACCACCACTCACACACGTATAACCGTCCGGGAGGCAGAGTGCCAGCGCTAATCCGGGAAATGCAGCCGAAAACTATGAAAGCGAACGCACGCACAAAACAGAGAACAAACACAACCGTATCCAAAGGGGTTCCGGGCGCGACTGAATGCAGACATGGATTTGTTATAAAGAAAACATAATTTGTTATCTTTTTAATACCCTTCATATACCATTTAGATCTCATTTTTGTTATGATTACTGTTAACTCAACCACAGGGTAGGCAAAATATGTTATCACGAAAGCTTATATCAATATATCAAACTAAGTTTTCATTTTGCTTTCATTCTCTGCTCGAGTAGCTTTTTCTAAAGCCTTAAGTTTGCTTAGTTCACTTGACTTGAAATGAACTGAATAAAAATCATAAGGAATACCGTTGCGCGAATCGAAAGGACTGGATCATGTTGATTACTTGGACTGGCTCAACTCAACAAGTAAATTTGTCAATTCATCTTTGATCTGATCACATAGTCACTGACAGACTTGATCCTTAAAAAAACCTTCGTCAAAATCTTATTAATTTTTTCGTCAATGACAAAGATTCACCTGGTAACAAAAAGTGTAATTTCGTGCATTCTGTGTCACATTATTGTTATCCAAGCAGTGCAGGACGGAGACGCTTGTTCATTTTAACGGCTCCATGTAATTGTGTTGCTCAATTTAATTTCGTTACAAATTCAGTTAATAAAAATTCTACATATGTTCGTCCTTGACAGCATTGTCATTGACAATTGACATGGTTTGCCTTGACGATGACTGTTAAGCGCCCATTACACATGTCAATATATTGACAATAAATTGACATACTGACAATATTATTGAAACGGTGATATTGATGATGATGATTGATGACAAGTATTGACGAAAAGCTGATTTTTATTCCACTTTGTCAATACTCAGAATATATTGACAAAAAAAAAACAGTCAATTCTATAGCGCCCATTACATATGTCAATTTTCCTTACAATATAATCAATATATAAATATTGACAACATTAATGACAATACACTAAAGCGTTTGTTACACAGGTCAATATATTGACAATAAATTGACATACTGACAATATTATTGAAAGATAATATTGATGACGATGGTTTGATGACGAGTATTGTTGAAAACTGATTTTCATTTCACTTTCTCAATATTCTTCCCCTACCCAAGAGGAGGGAGAACGCACGTCATTTAGACCGACTGACTCACAATGCACCTTCACGCATGCAGTGTTGGCATTTTGTTTAAATCTTCGTGTGTGATATAAAATGGATATCAAACTAAATAAAAAAAGTTTCCTTTTACAGTCGCCAATCACTACCCGGGCTTCGTCTATATCGATGTTCATTTTCTACAAAATCACAAGCATAATCACGTAATTTTGTTTTTTTTTACTTTAAAATAAAATTAATACTATCTGCGTTTCACATGCAACGCAAATTCAATAATATATGCAAGTTTTTCCTTTAGGAATGTTTACCAAAACATCAGCATAATAGTTTATTTATGAGAAACTGCATACCATGAACGTGGGTTATTCAACACGAGTGGTAATTCCACGCAGTCGACAATCGATTTGATTCAATTCCATTAATTTGTTATCATGTTGTCCTGTGTATTTTCTGTGTCCTGTCAAAAAGTTACAACATTTGATATTGGCGTTGACGGAACCGTCGAGAAATCATATCTTCTAACAAACATTGACAGTTTCTTATTGGAACTTTCAGTGGAGTGAAAGGATAGTACCAACTAGAAATGCTCAGAGGGTGTGATAGGCGGAGAAAACAAAATACAATACGGCAGCAAGGATTTGTTCCTTAATTATCTTGCAACCCTTGCTAGAAGCTAGCATTTCAAATGACTTTTATTTTTGATTCGATTTACATGCAAAATAATAATTGATTGCATCGCAATATTTTGCACATTTCTTGGTGCCATTCATTAACCAACGAAGATCATTTTGTATTGTTTTTGGTTCCAAAACCTAGTTGAATTTGAGAAGCACACAAAACATAAAGGGGATTGAATTTCTGTTCGATTGCAATACTTTCAAATTTATTCTAGAAAGAATAAGAAATCCTCGGAAAAATTCTAATGGGAATGTTCGATTGGCTCAGATTTTGACAGTTCATTTGGCTCAAAACATTCTCTCCGCCCATCTCTTCCTCTGAGTATTTCTAGTACCAACCAATTCAACAATTTTGAAATTTATTACGAAATTGTACGGACCTATTTAAAACCGTTCAATGATAATGTGTCGATTTTATTGTTTTCTTACGAGTGATGGTAATTGAATATTGACTTTAATACATTGAGGTTAAAAGCTTCAAACGTATTGCCATTGATGTTGTCAATATTCGTATATTGATGATATTGATAGAATTGACTGTTTTTTTTTGTCAATATATTCTGAGTATTGACGAAGTGGAATAAAAATCAGCTTTTCGTCAATACTTGTCATCAATCATCATCATCAATATCACCGTTTCAATAATATTGTCAGTATGTCAATTTATTGTCAATATATTGACATGTGTAATGGGCGCTTTTCAAGAGAACCTTGAACAGACGTTTTGGTGTCATAAGTGAAAAAAATTGTGTTGCAGTTTAGTAAGATACTGCAGAAAACGTTTGAATCCGTCCAAGGTTTCAGCCAATACACGAGGACCAATTTGAAGTGAAAAGTTGATTTTAAAAGTTCAGTGCGAAGACCATGGAAATCAGAAGTGGTTATCACAAAAGGGGGCCTTTTCTTTCTTGGCAATAAGCTGGGAATATTTATTCGAAATGTGTCTGGATGATGGATCATTGTCTTTATCCGTGAGCATATCAAATTGATTGCTCAAGAGATTGCTCTTTTGCGTTTAGGCACCATGGCGGCAAAAGTAAGTTTCTCCAAATCAACTTCTAAGCAGATTACTACAAGAATCCGAAGGATCGAAGAGGAATTTTCCAAATCGATGTCCCAGCATGATTACGTCGGGTAGGGTCTCAACAAGGATCGAAGAGAAATAATAGTCAAACAAGGTTGAAAATGTGCAGGTAATATTTAGCACCGAGAAGTTATAGCTTTAGGGTAGCAGCAAAAAGCAAATAGATCCGCACGGCACGCTTGAGTATAAGAATCATCAGCATTTAGCTCATTTAGATAAAAATATTGTGAATCAAAATGTTCGATTTTAGCTGTACATAACAAAGAAACGAAGCAATATTTAGAAATTAATTGTATGTTACTGAATCGAGGGATTATGAACTGTAGTTCTGTATTTTAAATCAACAGATATTGCTCAACTGACATAAAGTCGCCCAGAGTTTAAATCATCCATATTATTTCATTATTAGGTACCTAAAAATTTCCACTAGCGCTAAATACTGGAGCAAGGGCCACTTACCCTATGAGCAAAAAAAGTCGTGAGGAATAATTTTCAGCGCAGGAGTCTACTTTGGCGCAAAATGCGCACTATTCCTCAGAATTAAAAAGCCTTCTTCTTCTTCTTCTTCGCATTTCAAGCTTATTGTATATGGAATGCGCAGATTTAGACGCGATCACAGTACTTACCCTTATCTTCTATCATGTTTTGACTGAGATTAATTGAACGAAGGGCAGGATTTGAATTGGATATCACAGAAACTGCAAGCTTGTGTATAAAATCCGATCTATGAAATGAGAAAACAAAAATAAGATCCTTTGAGGACACTAATTCATCAATTTGAACTATTTACCGTAACGCAAGTGCCTCAAGATGCAGTTCCTCTAACCACATGGATCGTTTTAAAACATGAAGAATTCTCTCCAGGGTTTCCGCTGAAAGACGCGTATTGGTAATTTTTAGTCCACGGAAGAATGTGTTATATTCCAATGCCGACACGATAGCCATCAAATCTTTCTGCTCAAGATGATCAAAATCTCGCAGATTTAGGATGCGATTGTCATGCGATAGATAGATGGTATCGATGTCCCATGCGACTTCCTCACGGTACTGTACGGCATGAAAATCGCACATGCATGCATATTGCATGCTAAATCCTCCACATGGTCCCACATTGCGCGGATCGGATGGTCGAAGTTCATCAGAGAATATTGTTGTTCGTTCGATAGGATTTACTTCGATCTAGAATAAAACAAAGCATATTTGGTATTGTAACAGAGGTATGAAAAGTGTCTTTCCTTATGCTTCGTTAAGTTGGTAGTTTAGAGATTTATAATTGAATAAAATTAAAGCTGTGGTAAATCGTCTTTTTATTTATTGTTCATTGTTTATTAATCACTTCATCTGAATAAGAAGCCTGTTTGAGTTGGCTACTAATATTATTAGTCACGCTCAAACAAGCATAAAAACCTTAAATCTGTTCGACACATCATTACATGGCACACCACAAAGTAATCAGGATTACATACTAGAAACAAAACGCTCCTATACATATTAAATACTCACATTTCACTAATGAAGAAACGTAAGCATACCGTGAAGGTAAAAATTTGATGTCAACTCAATTGCTCATGATTGTTCAAGGTTAAAATCCAAACTTCAGTAAAATCAGCGTTAATATGTACTACACCATAAATGGCCATAGTTCAGCGCATATAGAGTAAATGCCGGCTTCGGAGTGCTGTGGGTAGAGCCGACCGATACGGTCGTGTTTTTTGTTAGCTAGGGGCCTGGAGCGTGAGAATTTATTTAAATTAGCTGTTCGCACACATTTTGTTCGCGAGTGGGTTATGAGTCTTTCGGTTGTGTTTTTGTGGAACGATGATAGATTTTCATTAGCTCCAAACTCCGTGGCGATATGTTAAGGTAAAAGTGACTTAGTGAGTAAATCCAAATTTTGAAAAAGTTTATCTCTGTGACATCACTTCAGATTAGAAAAAAGCTCTCGTTGTTGTGTGTGAAATAATAAAAGGAAAACATCGACGAGAACTTTTTGCAATATGAAGTGATGTCTCAGAGATATTTGCCTGAAAAGTGCCTGAGAAAAATGCAAGCACTTTTGTGGATTACCCGGAGTTACGATAGTGAAGGTATGATCACAGACAAACAGACATAACATGCTTAAGATGTTCATCGAAATAGCTTTTAACGGTCAATTTAAATGTTTCTTAGTTGATGGTACCGCCACTAGTGGCACACATAATCAATTTGTCAATAAAAAAATTATCACATATCTAATAGATGATATCCATGTGAATTTCACATAGCTTTCCTGTGATCACATAGCTGCAAATCCCACCACAAAATCACATGAATATTATAAAGCCGATGAAATACATATGAAAAATCATATAAAATTAATGTGATCGCATAAATGTTATGTGAAATTCAGATGAATTCCATTACTTTTGATTACGGATGAAAATCATGTGCGTTTACAATGGAAGCTACGTGAAAAATATTTTCGGTGCAATACAACTATGTGTTGAGTGTATTGCCCATCACAGTGTATACGACAGATAGCGGTAGGATTTACAATGATAAATGTTCAATGTGTTGTGTCTGTTTGTCTGTGATATCACATTGAGGTAACGTTGGGATAAAATCAAAACATTGAGAAATATAACGCATAACTTTCAGGAATACTTCACTTCGCAACTAATGAACCATTCTGACGGCCATATGAGTACCCAAGTAACCATTTAATCGCAATATAAAGGGTGTCCACGATGAAATTGCCACACTATGAAATTGCGCTAACTTTTTAACCGTTGGGTAGAATTTAATGAAAATTTGGGTGGATTTAGTTCATAGTGCATTATTTACATCCTGCAAGTTTTAAAGTCCTGTGATCAAAACTCGCGGAAATGGAGTCGAAAGAACAGCTCGTGCGTAATAAAATCTTGCGCATTCATCACGAGAACAAGGATCTCTCGCATCGTTCCATCGCTAAAACGTTGGGAATCGCGAATTCCACGGTGTCGCGAGTGATTAAGCGGTTCGAGGAACGGTTGACCACCGATCGGAAGCCCAGAAGTGAAGGAAAAAGTATTCCGTACAACACCAAAAATCACAACCGCGTAGTTGGGGCCTTCAACCGAAATCCGAACGCCTCCGTTAAAGATGTGGCTAAGAAGCTGCACCTAAGCCGAAGTTTTGTCCAGAAGGCCAAAACTAAGGCTGGGCTTCGAACGTTCAAGGTACAAAAGGCCCCTAATCGCGACGAGAAGCAGAACAAGTCCGCCAAAACCCGTGCCAGGAAGTTGTACCTCAACATGCTGACGAAAGTTGAATGCTGCATCATGGACGACGAAACATATGTGAAGGCCGACTTCAAACAGATCCCCGGCAACCTATTTTTCACGGCCAAGGATAAGTTCAGCGTTCCGGAGCATGTCCGCACTCAGAAGATGTCCAAATTTGCGAAGAAATTCCTGGTTTGGCAAGCCATCTGCACGTGCGGGAAGCGGAGTGCACCTTTCGTGACCCAGGACACGATGAACGGACAGGTGTACATAAAAGATTGCCTCCAGAAGCGGCTGCTTCCTCTCCTGAAGGCCCACAACGTCCCAACAATCTTCTGGCCGGATTTGGCCTCATGTCACTACTCCAAGGACGTGCTGAAGTGGTATGCGGACAATAAGGTCAATTTCGTGCCGAAAATGTTCAACCCTCCCATCACTCCGGAGCTCCGCCCCATCGAGAAGTACTGGGCGATTATGAAGCAGCACCTTCTTAAACGACCTAAGGTAGTGAAGACAGTCGAAGAACTGAAGAAAGTATCGGTTTACATGCAAAAAACGGTTGATTCACAGGTTGTGCAGAATCTTATGGCCGGGGTTAAGGCCAACGTGCGGGCATTTGCGTATGGACTGTAAATAAAATACGAGTAAAATGGTAAAATGAAGTTTAATAGTTATTTCTCAATCCCTGAAAATTTGATGGCAATCGGATGAAAACTCGAATTTTGCGAATCAATTTTGTGTGTGGCAATTTCATCGTGGACACCCTAGCTTGTATTTACTTACTTTGCTTCAGTATGGGCAGGCCAGTGACAAGGCCTATACCAACAGCAGCGTTTGACAGTAGGCAGCATGTCCCGGGCTCAAATCATTTATTTTGCTGTGCTGGGTCCGCTGTCACTGTATAACATGTTGCATACGCGCCTGCCACTGGGCTGAGTATGGGTAGTTGGGGAATCTGATGAAACTATCATTTCTTGAAACTAATCCCTTTCGTATTCCATTCATTCTCTTTTCGCACTTTGCATATAACACCATCTCATACTAACCTTTACATTGATTCAAAGACTCATCCCGAGTGCTCGGTGGACCAGCGACTTAAGACGCGAGCCGTATGCCAGATGACCATGGCAATACAGTAACAGATGGTGGACATGAGATCGACCACACCAACCAGCGAGGAAGAGTAAACATCGAACCAGGTACGGAAATTAGTGCGGATTTATCACCGTCGGAAAACAAGAAAAACCCGGAAAAGGAAAGCATGTCAGAACCGACCTAGGACGATCTACGGAAGGAAATTGCCGGTGAAGGGCGAAATGAAGTACGAAGCGTTAGAGAAAAAGTACAAGGGATTTCAAAAGAAGCAATCAATGGCGGAAGACCAGCGGAACATGGTGAGACCGAGCCTATTATGATTTATAAATTAAACATCAAAATTAAACTAAATACGCGCTAGGTTTGAAAAGAATAGTTTTCGAACCTTGAAGTGTGTATGTAATACTAATATCCAATTGATAGAGGTAGTACATACATGCGGGGCTTATTATAAGTGAGAGTAACCTCGGAATGGGCGTGACTCTACAGACATTCTAAAATGGGTTGCTGGATCTGCAATAGAGCTATTGCTTTCTAACTCCCCGACTAAAGCTGTTTACAATGACCATACATGTAGTTTGGTAACGAAAATTAATGCTGTGGCGATTACTGGGTGATCCGCAATTGAAAACCCCAGTAAAATTATACTGACTTCGGTAATCTAGACTAAGTGTGTACATCAATATTGACAATATATCTGTATTCACTTTCATTAATATTATATTGTCAATAATTTCCCTTCGCGTCAATATATTGATATGTGTGAGGTTCGCTTTAGATTTGGCTAAAGGAAAATATGCGTGAAAGGTTTGGCAATGCGCTTCAGGAGGGTGGTAGGGGAAACGCTTCTATAGTCACGGTACGCTAGAAGCGTTAGGTTCCTGTAGTTGTGCCGGGGGGCGATCAACTTCATAAATCAGCTGAATTGTAAACATACACTTCGGAAAATACACAATAAATACGTAAATGTGTACACGTTGAAACTAAAATACCCTAATAAAAATAATTAAAAATACATCGAAAATCCTGAAGAATGTGTGCGTTTTAGTGGAATACCTGCATAATGAGAGAGAGAAGGATTAGTAATTTCCATTTAATTCCACTACCTTATTTGCTTATCCTTGACAAATAAGGTAGTGGAATTAAATGGAAATTACTAATCCTTCTCTCTCTCATTATACATCGAAAATACTTGGTACGCGAAAAATACATTTCATAATTAATTGAATACACTTTAATATAAAAATACACAAAACTTCTTGACTTCATACACAACTATAGGAACCTAACGCTTCTAACGTACCTCAACTATAGGATCGTTTACCCTAACGGTTAAATATATCGTAATTGGTATCAAAACCATCATGGCTTCTGATCTTCTGTCAACCGGTGTTTGTTTTGATTCTCTCTTAGAATGTTTTCATCTTTTGGATTGGATGAGCCAGCGCCGGTGGTGTAGTGTTAAGCGTGACTGCTTTCTCACCCCAATGGGTCTGGGTTCAGTCCCAGCCGAGGTCGGTTGGATTTTTCTGAGGCATAAGAATCTCTGGTCACGTCTTCCTTCGGAAGGGAAGTAAAACCGTTGGTCCCGGCCCATATATGTTGAGTGGGTGCGATATCCTACGCAGATGTGGAAGCCTGCCTTCCTGCACATTCGATTGCCGTCAATGGATGGCAATCGATGTCCGTCGGTGATTGGCACTAGATTGTGGAACAGAGACCGAAGTTAAAGAAAGGAATGAAGAAGAAGATTTTTTTTTTTATATCTTTATTAAGGAGACTTTCAGCCGTTGGCTGGCTCGTCAAAGAAGAAGAAGAAGAAGAAGAAGAAGGTTCCGGCCT